TTGCACATTTTAGGCGAATAACTTGCACATTGCTGCACATCACGTTACTTTTATCACTTAAAATTCTCTGTATTTGCTGCCCTTGCTGTTTATTTGACTTGTGCCTGCTTTCTTTTTACATCTTCTCATCCTCTGTGAACATTGTGCTGTGATGCACTGATCACCAGGTCAGACTCCTCCTGAGTCAAAACCTGCTTTACAATCAAACTGATCACAGGAGGAAATGCACTCATTTATTATCATGTCTTTGTGGTGTTTACAGCTTGTTTTACTGAAGATATAAGATGAAAATTGACCTTTACTTCTTTAGAATATGTGGCATTTTTGTGAAGGATGTGAGAATAACAGTTTGTGACAACATGAGGTGTAACATTCAGCAGCTCCTTCAAAATAACTCATTATATATTCTGCTAAATTTAGACTCTGCAAAAATAGACCTTAAAAAAGTACAAAGAAGGTATAGGGCTGCAGTGAAAACTTCATTTCCATGCTTTATTCATTCAAACGAGGACAATTTGCAAGTCAGCTTTTGAGCTTCAGCCATTCACATGCAAATCCTGGAGGGAAAACAACGAGCAGCTCCTCGCTCCAGAACTGGGCCTCTGCCAGGTTCGGCCAAACATTCCCATTCACGATGGAGTAATTACGGGTCATGTGATCTCTTTTAAATTAACAAGGAAGTGATTAGGCCCTGGGTAGCTCCACCCTGTCCCTGCTGAATGTGAAGGAGCAGCAGGTTCCTCCAGGATAAAAACATTTTTCCTCCATGGCACCAGTCGTCCTGGAGCTGCTTCCATTCACTGAGCGGCCCGCCGGCTTCCAGGCTCATGGAGCTGCTGCGCTCCCAACTTGAATTCAGGTCAGACTTTGCTATCTCGAGTGAAATGTAAAGCAGGAGGCAGGCAGCAGGTGAAGCGTGAACACAATCGGGGGGCCGTGATAACTCACTTGGAAGCTATCAGCCACTTGCGCTCCCACCTGGCCGCTGCAGAGTCGCGGCGCTCCGGCTCCCACCAGGCGCACAGAGGAGACGCGCTCCCCGGCTCGTCATGGCGCAGCGCTCCGCTCACCTCGTCGTGCCCATCGCGCTGCTGCTCTTCGGGCTCGTCGCCATCCTGCTGCTCACGATCCCCGCCGAAGACGTCCAGGAGCCGCCCGGGTTCATGGTGAGGTCCGCTCCGCCGGGTATTTTTGGGTGTTTGTAATCGAAGCTGAGCCGGGCAGGCGGCACACACGAGGCTGAGAGGGCTGCGGAGCTGTGGAGGGGGGATACCACGACCCGGAGAGAGTGGTCTGGTTGGGTGTCTTAGTTCAGAACAGTTGCATCTTCTTCTGTCTGCAGAAAGTTAGTTTGATGTTCTCTGGTCAGCTTTTAAAATGTAAACATATGGAAGTCCAGTGGTGCCAATATTCAATTAAGTAATAATAATNGGGCTTGATGCTGGAAGGCTCATTTGTTGTTAATATTTATTGTTTATAGTTGTTATAATAACAAGTGCATTGTTAGAACACTACACATCGCTGGATTTCATGTCTAACTGACCGGTGCACTTGTGCACAGCCTGTCGGTTGACACCAAAGGTAAGTGGTCCTAAATCCGATCTGATCTTTTGCCATGCCACTTCTGTCTAAACGCCCAGGTCGCACTAATCCGACCTACACGTCATTGATACACAACAAGCTAGGGCTGGTCTGAATAACACTTTATGGTCTCTGGATATTTTGGCCCAATTAACGATGAATATCCGAATACTCTGCGCGGTCGGGGTGAGGGGGAGGCACTTCCACCCCAGGGGAGCACTCCGACGGGTGGAAGTGGCCTGAACGCACAGGCAGTATTTGGCCGCTGATGCCAGTTTAAGACAGCGTTCCCAGTTCTGCTTCCACCATCAGTAGTGGTGTAGGTGACGGCGGGGAAGTGACGAGCGATTTTAATATTTTTCTAAAAATATACGCTCCACCGTGACCATCTGTTTACTTTCATGAACACTGAGCACGCTCGCTGCATGTGACGTCGTCGTGTCCTCTTCTGTGCATGTGGGACACTTTTGGGTCGTATGAAGTTCATACAACAGATCACATATAAGTCCAATTAATTGGAAATGTGAACGAACTCACAAAGAAATCGGATTTCACAAAAAAAATCTGAATTGAGCATTAAGTCCTGCAGTGTGAACGTAGCCAATCTGTCAGATTGTTCAGTCAGATAATACATCATTATCCTGATTGGTGACATAAAATGTCACGTCGGAGTCAGAATCCAAGGCTGTCATTATGATAAGGCTGTTTTTAATAGGCTCCATTTGTTTTTCCTAAAAACCTGTCAGATAGCACGGTTTTCAGATTGTTAAAGGTCGGATAATCGAGTCATGACTGTACTTAGTAAAAATCTGTTTTCACTTTGACACAAAAGAGTCTTTTTTGTAAATTTCTCTCAAAAAGACTAAATAAATTGATCATGATTCAGCGTTGAAAAGCAATAAAAGCAGGAAAGTGGGGTGAACTCTTTTAATCCTGATGGTGTGTTTAAACCATCAGTGCTTTTTGCTGCAGACTTAAAAACTACTTTTGTGGTTGCATTTCACATCTTCACTCCATCATGCACCTGCAGGTCCTGAGTCTAGATACATCACTACATTGTGTTAGCATGCTGTCCCTTTCCTCTCCCTGCTGGGATCACCTTGATATTTCCATGTAGGCAGCAACAAGGTCAGAGGTCAACGTTGTACATATTCAACACTGACATGACAACCTGTTCTACATCAGTGGAGCGACTGATATGAGTTCACACATCAGCATCTCTCCTTTTCTAGTATTTCACATAACTCAGCTGTTACTTTTAGATTTTGAATTCTTTTATTATATCTGCTTTAACATACTTTATGCCATGAGTTCGAGTTTTTATCTCTCTGTTGGACTTTTTTTGCCAGCTGCTGCTTTGGTGTGTTTGTGAACAGGGTTTGGGTGAAATACAGTCAACTGCTGGACACAAATCGCGTGGCGGCATTTTGTAGTTAGTGACGTAATTCAATGAATAATAAGGAAAAAGCGGAATACTTTGAAAGCATTTGAGCTCCACAAATATTCTCTGTTCTCTTTAAACATCAGAAGACATTTTCGGTTTGTACAAATGCAAGTTTTGTATGCATTTATTTTAATAAATGTGTATTTATTTGAATAAATGCATATTCAGTATTTATAGTTAGCCAAGCAGCCTGAGAGAAACAGTGCTGCCACAAACTGCACGTGTTCTTTCTCTGTTCTACAAGATGCAGGACGCAGTTTCTTTAGTGTAAGATTTTGCTTTTGCAGTTTTTTAGGCAAAGGCTGCACACTGGAGTTCTTTATTTGTTTAGGTAGTGACTTATATATGAAACCTTGTTGTGCTCTTCTAATAGCAGTCAAGCAGCAGAAGCAAATGTGGAAGTCAGGGATGAAAAACATGACTATTTGGCCTACAAAGCAGAAAAATAAGGTTAAAGATGAGTCTTCCAGGTCACCCCTGTAAAAACGTCCTGTTCTGCCACTGCTAAAAATGCTCGTCTTCCAATTTCAGTGCAAATGAAACAGAATAAAAAATCCATTATTCATAAACATAATTTTAAAAAAAACAAGTTAATTTCACTAACACTGGCAACCAGAGAGAAAAAATTTGCTTTGACATACACTAGTTATCATGGAAAGGAAAAATCATTGTTTTTAAAATTGCTGTCATATTTTAAAAGTCATAATCAAAATGTAATCAAGTTATACTCAACGATGCACTCTTTTTTTTTTCAAATGTAATCTCTGCTGGGTATCATTATTTTTGTAATCTGATTACATGCAATATGTGATTTGTGCACAGCTTGTGAAAGAAGTTAATAGAAAGACTACAACCAACCCTTTGCATGACTGTTTATACTTCAGTATGTTATAAAAGCAAACATCCATCACCTGCACACAATGTGTAAATTTGCACATTTTAGGCGAATAACTTGCACATTCCTGCACATCACGTTACTTTTTTTTATCACTTAAAATTCTCTGTACTTGCTGCCCTTGCTGTTTATTTGACTTGTGCCTGCTTTCTTTTTACATCTTCTCATCCTCTGTAAACATTGTGCTGTGATGCACTGATCACCAGGTCAGACTCCTCCTGAGTCAAAACCTGCTTTACAATCAAACTGATCACAGGAGGAAATGCACTCATTTATTATCATGTCTTTGTGGTGTTTACAGCTTGTTTTACTGAAGATATAAGATGAAAATTGACCTTTACTTCTTTAGAATATGTGGCATTTTTGTGAAGGATGTGAGAATAACAGTTTGTGACAACATGAGGTGTAACATTCAGCAGCTCCTTCAAAATAACTCATTATATATTCTGCTAAATTTAGACTCTGCAAAAATAGACCTTAAAAAAGTACAAAGAAGGTATAGGCCTGCAGTGAAAACTTCATTTCCATGCTTTATTCATTCAAACGAGGACAATTTGCAAGTCAGCTTTTGAGCTTCAGCCATTCACATGCAAATCCTGGAGGGAAAACAACGAGCAGCTCCTCGCTCCAGAACTGGGCCTCTGCCAGGTTCGGCCAAACATTCCCATTCACGATGGAGTAATTACGGGTCATGTGATCTCTTTTAAATTAACAAGGAAGTGATTAGGCCCTGGGTAGCTCCACCCTGTCCCTGCTGAATGTGAAGGAGCAGCAGGTTCCTCCAGGATAAAAACATTTTTCCTCCATGGCACCAGTCGTCCTGGAGCTGCTTCCATTCACTGAGCGGCCCGCCGGCTTCCAGGCTCATGGAGCTGCTGCGCTCCCAACTTGAATTCAGGTCAGACTTTGCTATCTCGAGTGAAATGTAAAGCAGGAGGCAGGCAGCAGGTGAAGCGTGAACACAATCGGGGGGCCGTGATAACTCACTTGGAAGCTATCAGCCACTTGCGCTCCCACCTGGCCGCTGCAGAGTCGCGGCGCTCCGGCTCCCTCCAGGCGCACAGAGGAGACGCGCTCCCCGGCTCGTCATGGCGCAGCGCTCCGCTCACCTCGTCGTGCCCATCGCGCTGCTGCTCTTCGGGCTCGTCGCCATCCTGCTGCTCACGATCCCCGCCGAAGACGTCCAGGAGCCGCCCGGGTTCATGGTGAGGTCCGCTCCGCCGGGTATTTTTGGGTGTTTGTAATCGAAGCTGAGCCGTGCAGGCGGCACACACGAGGCTGAGAGGGCTGCGGAGCTGTGGAGGGGGGATACCACGACCCGGAGAGAGTGGTCTGGTTGGGTGTCTTAGTTCAGAACAGTTGCATCTTCTTCTGTCTGCAGAAAGTTAGTTTGACGTTCTCAGATCAGCTTTTAAAATGTAAACATATGGAAGTCCAGTGGTGCCAATATTCAATTAAGTAATAATAATAAAAATAAATAAATCTGCACATTAAGTGAAGAAAAAACTTTGATTTAAATACTTTTGGATCAGAATTATTATGTTGGCACTATTAGGGTCTAAGAAACAGCATCATTTCCACCCGTCATCTATCAACAGGTCAAACTACTTGCAGCTACATTTGCAGATGCACATAAATTAAATGTCAGTATTTTATGACAGTCTAAATTGGCATCCCAAAGCAAACATGGTTGGTTAAAATTCTGCCACTAACAGACGGTTAAATCCACTCTGGATTTGAATTTCTATGCATATTTTATCATTGCAGGTAGCCTCTTTAAGAAAAAACACATTTAAACATGATTTGACTGTTTCTGGCCTTTTTCTTTCTTCTAAGACTTGCATATACCTTTTTTACATTTACTTTTGTGGTTGATGAAACATCATCTCAGTGAAAACAAGACTGCATGCACACGCTGTCAAACTCCTTCCACCTGCATATAAATTATATTGTAATATTTTAGGCACAATTGATATTCTAGAAGCAAAAATGTTTGGTTAAAATGCTCCTGGTGTGTATGGAAGTCCAGTACTGACAATATTAGATTAACTACTGAGTGAATTTTTCTGCACAATAATTACTTCCTCACCTACTTAGTCTATTAAAACACATCTGTGCATGATGTGATTGATTTGTGGACTTCTGTTTTTTTGCTTTTTTGCTTGTATTTACCTTTTGAACTCACTTTTAGAGTCCAGAAAACAACGTCGTATCACTGAAACAAAAGATCGAAAAACAGGTCAAACTTTGTGTTCTTGCAACTGCATGTAACTTGAATTTAAATGTTTTGTGACGGACATACTTGGTATTCCTAAAGCAAAATTGACAGGTTACAATGCTGCCAATACCAGTGTTAAGTGAAAGTCCTATGAAAGACCAAAGTCATCCGAGACTTTCCATACATCTGGGTTACTGAGTTCCAGTCCGGTTCAATGACGATGGCCAAAAAAATCCAGGAACTTTGCACTTTGCAAACTAGTTATCATCATTTCTTAGCGTTGTAAAGCAGTTTACTGCACATCTCATAACATGCAGGTGGAAAAGACTTTGTTTTAACCATGCAAAAGATCTCCACAGTGAAGGCGTCTATCTTGCACAGTCACTGGAGCTCAGGGAGACATCTAGTTTTGTGTCGAATGCATTGTGTGACAGGTCTGGTGCTGTCATTTTCCCAGTTAGTCTTTTGCCCTAAAGCCATTTCACCTTTCTATACGTTTGCTTAGGATGATTTAATATGACTTCAATCAAGTAGCCGTGAATATCGACAAACTCTACAGGCTCATGTCCAAACCTGCAGCGTTCAGTGTGAGCTGGTAGCACGACTTGGATTCATTATCCAGTGTTTCAGTGTCATTATAAGACATTCCAGACAGCCGTGAAGACAGAGGCACATCCAAAACATCGTAAATCCAGCGCCGAGTGCACTTGCACGTAGCCTGACATGTTGACGGATGACAGTTTGACAGCCTGTACATGTGGCTTTGTTTACACCGAGGTGACGTTGTCGCCCGGACATCCTCTGCAAACATGACTCAGAAAACCTGCACAGATTATGTAACCGCTGACACTGCAGTCATATAAATCATCATATGCACATATAAAGATATGCAAAATGAGGATAGGTCCAAGAATCAACAGTGAAGCTTTGTCTAAGAGAGCAACATATCTGTCATAAAACGTCGTTCACATAAGACTAGGTGTTGCCCTGAGCTGCAGCTGCTGCCGTCCCTGTTCTGCTCGTTAATGGCACTCGGCCTGGAGATGTTTTGCATGATGGAAGCTTGTAAAAAGAAATATTTGACTCCTGCATGTTGGGAGACATACAGTAGATTAAGTCACAACTTTTAGGCACAATGAGGACAAGCTTAAGAGTACAGAAACACTGCATCTGTAGTTTGTCTTTACTGTGGTGAGCCACTGAGTTACCTGAATGCAGTCGTCTTTGGATCACTTGGATTTCGATCTTAGCGTGAAAGATGTAGGTGTACGTTAGGTTATGTACGCTGTAGATTGTTTGTAGCCTGTTTAACCCTGCAAATGTCTTTATAAATGCTTAAATGCTTTGCTTTTGTTTTCAAACTTTAGCCTGAGTTCATGTGCAAATTCGTTTTCTGCCTTCTGTAAGAACAAGGATGTGGATTATCTATTGTGATATTAAGCTGCTGTTTAAGTTGTGCAACATTTCTTTATTTCTCTATTACACCTTCTCGACTCCATAAAATGTGCACCGCATGTATTTCACATCCTACATAATTGTTATATTCTGGTACTTTTTAATAGTGGGAAATTCTGTGTAGTTTTTTGGATGAAAAGGCGTTTAAACGTTAAATTTGGGTCACATATGAATAAAAATGGAGAGTTTTAAAGACAACAGATAATACATAACTGCCATTTCAACAACTTTCTTAACTTCTTTATATCAAAACAGTGTTGGAACTTGGCCAAGAGGATATACATTTTCTGTCTGCAAATCACCAAATCGTTGCTTACAGGATGCCAAATAGTTGAAATGCAAAATTTAGAGGGAAAAAAATTACACTCCATAATATCCTCAACGAAATTACCTTTGCATTTTATTGTTCAAACTGTCTAATAGACTTCACTATTTGTGTAATAAGGATGCCAGCTAATCATTGTGTGTTTCTGCAGTTTATTATCTGTGTTGTGTCCCTGCTCGACCCTCAAGTTCAGCTGAGGACAGTGTGTTCTTGGCCTTCTGTCATCAGGAGCTCTGTGGTGCAATCAGGAGTGAAATCCTGACAAATTACCAAAAAACACAAATAATTTTCAAGATTCAACCCCAGGTGATTGGAGATGGAGTCCATAAAATGTCAGAAAATAACCAACAAATTGATGAATGGCAGCATGAGGACAGCGCTCGTTCATTCAGTATTGTTGGACAAGCTGTTGTATGATGATTCCCATAGTAACGCCGTGTTTTGGCATTCAGAGCAGGTCAGCTCCGGCCTCTGTTCCCTCTGCGCCCTCATTTTTGTGTTACTAGCTTCACATCCCATGGTTCCTTTTTTAAGCATAATGTAGCTGCCCTTTCACTCGCCAACAATGCAGCAGACCATTGACCAAAAAAAAAAAGAGGGGGGTTTTCTTACACTGAGCCGGGAGACGAGTGCCGCAGCTCCAGCAGCGTATCAAATGAAAGGACAAAACAGACCATTAGAGCTGCTCATGTTTTTGGCAACTGTTGGGGCGAGTCCTTACAACTGACTGCACAGCGGTAATGAGGAAATATTATGAGAAATTACCAAGAAAGGCGTCCGCATAACATCGCTGCTCGTGCACTGCGGCGATTCGAGGGTGTTTGTAGGAGCCGGACAATGTGGCCGGATGTGCATCTATTTCCTAGAAGTGGATCTGTGTCTGTGTGTGTGGTCCCTTTGCTTTGGATGGCCGGTCACGTGGCTTCTTGCTCCCCGTTGAATTCAACACACTCTTTTCCTTCCTTTTGTTTCAAACCGGCATTAGAAGATTTGTTATTCTGCTTTATTGTGAAGCTGTTTCAGGAGAACAGGTCTGAGGGAGAAAGATGAGGTGACGGTGACACCTGGAAACAAACTAATCAGACGAAAAACACGAAAACACTGGAGGCCTTTTCTTCTAATTATGACCCAGTTTCTAATAAAAGATGTTCAAAGTTTTGCATCTTGTAATTAAGACAACACTACTGAAGAAAGATTCAGTTTGAGCTGTTTTTAAAGACTTCTTTTGACGTCCTTATCGCATGATTTTCAGATACAGACTCATCTTCATTATAATGAATTATCATTTTAATGAATTAACATTATAATGACATACTACACACAGATTTGAAATATTGCACACTGCATGGACATATTCTTGTCAAAGTGAAATATTGCACAAGTTATAAAACATTTTATTGAATTTTCAATATTTCATTATCACTTGACTTCCCCAGTGTCATTGCCAGTATTATGTTTTTCTGTTTCTATATTTTCTGAATGTTTCATACTTGCGTCTTATTGGTTTTCCGCTAAAAAACACATTTCTCAGATTACACAGTTTAGTTTTTTGAGCATTATCTGGCAGAATTTTTTCCCTCTAAATTAACACAGTTTTATCTTATTATTAATTAATTAGATGTTGAGTCATGTTCTCAAAAGATCACATCTGTAATCGTGACAAGTAGTATGGCTAAAAAATGTACAGTTTCTCTTGAAGGCTTGAACTTAGCGACTGCTATGCAACATCTGGGCCTGAGCTCTGCTTTGTCAGAATACTGAGGTTTAATTGTAGGCTAGTTTAGGCTCACCATTCTTTATTAAAAGAATAGTTTTTGTCGACTTTTAAAGGAAGAGCTAGTTCCTGAGCCGGTTCAGTCTACCTTTTTAGTTCATACCAAGTCATATTTTGTGACGTCTGCAGAGGCTGTAGGAAGTTCTAAGTTCTCCAGATAACCTGTGCTACGCCCGTCCACACTAAACACATTGGCACAGTCCTACAGTGTAATCTGTAGCCAGCTGCTATATTCCCGTGTGTTTCTCTGTGTTTGTTATGAGGCGAAATGCAGTCGTCTGCTTATAAAACCAGCGTCTACCTAAAGTAGAACAAACAAAAACGCCTGCGTGTCTGCAAAGTCGCCATCAACCTGTGGGCGCAGAAAGCATGAATTGGCCATTTAGTTGCAGGATGTTTCGGCTGCATGCAAGTAAATATAAAAGTACACTCATAAATGTAAGCTGTAGGGAGGCTTTAAGAGGAATGAGTAAAACCTTATGCAAAGAGGCTGACATTGGGGTTGTGTGATCTTGTCTGTTGGTTCTCATTTAGGGTCTGGTTGTAGCTTCTGCACCATTTGAAGACATGAGAAGACTTTGCCACTCAGATGCATAAAAGGTGCTATTCAGACACTGAAAATGATCTTTTCTGATAGAAAAGGAAATGTATGCAAGAAATGTAGAACCCTGATATCAGTTAAAAAGCTCTTTTGAGGTAGCTCCTGGTTTTACAGCTACAAGGAGTCAAATGAGCATCACGAACAACATAAAAGTTGTTATTGAGCCGAGGTAAATTATGTAGATATGAATTAAAAGGGGGCCAAGTTGGTGTGAGAACGAAGACAGGTGACATATTAAAGGAAAAACCAGGTGTCTCAGTGAACTGTGGCTTCAAAAAGTGTCACAGGAGAGTTTTTGTGTCATTGGAAAAAGCAAGACAGATAAGTAGAACTAATACTTCTTTGTGCATGCTAAATAGAAAAGAGCTTGGAGAAGGGGATTTTTTTTGACTCAGAACAAACAGAATTGTCAGTTTTTTACTATTTTCTTCTTGCAAACTTGTGTTGATTCGTGATCATTACCTGTACCCGGTGTGTTACTCTGCTCAGGGCTCAGCTCCCTTCAATGAAGTGCTTCAGCATGAAACAGCCAAAACTGTATTTAGCAGGGACAGATCAGTGGCAAGAGGAGAGCTATGGCAAGAATGTAGGATTCCATTACTGTCATATGTGCGTGAATGTGAGAGTTAACAAGTCCCAGATCCAACATGTGGCACTGTGTTGAATCAAACTTCGCCCTAAACACACAAACATCCCTCCTGAACCACCCTTTTGTTGGATTTGTTGTTTTATTGAAGTCGATAACGCTGCATTTCAAAAATGCAGGACACCATGCAGAATGAATGTGAGTAAAAAATTTAATTTTAAAGGAAAATACTCAGTTTTATGAATCATATGTGACTCTTGTGGTCTTGCAGAGGACAATAAATCATACAATACCAAAATCAAACATCAACACAGAGAAAGATGTAAAGACTGTGATCACATGGAAACGTTTTCTGCTGCCTTAAATACATTTAAGGTAAATGTGTGACAAATATGAACAAGAATTGGTGTAAATTAAACTCCTCCCAACATGTTCTTAGACACGTAAAACAACCAGATTTCTCCAAGCCACAATAATAAGACAAATACAGAAATCAAATTGTCTTTCATCAAATCAGAAAAAACCTTTGCTGTCATAAGAAGGTGAATTTGTGCCATATTTTTTTTTAAAAACCCTTCAATGCTGACTGACAGACTGAAGTGCTGTCGACCACATATGTGCACTTGTGTAATCTAACACCCAGAGGGACGTCTTTAAAGGTCGACATGACGAGTTAACCTTCCCTGCAGCCACATGCCTTCCAGATACCAAGAATCAGGTCACCTCCATCGTAAACCTCTTTCATGCTCTTTTCTCTCATTAACCGAAGCCTTCCTATTTTCAAAGCTCTTGCCACAGTTATCTTTGGGGTTATTTCGCTGCCTCAGCATTTAACCTTCTTCATGGTATTTACTGCTCTTTTTCCTCTCTCTGTAGTACGGGATCGTCCTGGATGCTGGATCTTCACACACAGCTCTGTACATATACAAATGGCCGGCAGACAAGCAGAATGGCACAGGTGTGGTCACCCAGCACAGCGAGTGTCACGTAAAAGGTACGTGTTGGTGCTTTCTCCACTAAAACCCAATGTTTGCATGTCAAACACTGCTGGAGTTCAGTCCTACAACTCTGCAACCAAGATTCACTTTAGAAACATTTGATTCTTCTGTGCTTTTTCTTAGACACTGTGTCTCCCGAACAGATTTTACTAGTTTCTGTTTGACGCCAGCCCAGTCGGCTGTCTGCTGATCGAGACAATCTGCAGCTAATCACATTATACATATTCCTACAGAAACGGTTTCTGGAACGGTGTACATATGGACAGCAGATGTTTACAGTAGAACATCAATGAGCTGACTCTTTTTTATCTCAGGTTCAGGTCAGCGCTGTGGGAGGGCCATGGTATAGTTTTTTTCCATGGTTTACATTGTAAATTCCTCTGAAGACAAGTTCAATTACAGCAATGTAGCCCCCAGAAAATTAACCCCAGGCCTTGATGGTTCCACCTCCATACTTTAGCAGTGAACAAAAGTTTACATACACTTGTAAAGACTCTGTACATCATGGCAGTCTTGAGTTTCCAATGACTCCTACAACTCCTAATTTTCCCTGATGAATTCTTTGAAACACGTCTTTGTCATTTTGGTTCTTTCGCAGATTTATTATCAGTCTTCTGCTGGGTCAAAAGTATACATACAGCAACTTGAATTAGCAATTTTGGTAGCGTTTACAGTTGTGTTAATCAAGTGTTCTAATCATGAGTGATTCTGATTGATTACAGCTGCTGACTCCTCTGTGCCAGTTTAGTGAGAGC